ATAGGTCTAACATGAGGCTGGTGTGAAGGACACAGAGCAGCCGGTCTGCCTCACAGGAAGCCAGAGGGACCCAACAGTTTATTCCTCCAGTTCATGTTGACTGGAGACCTTCAGCATCTTCCTGCTGCATGGGGCTCTATTGCTCCCTCTGGTGGCTGTTAGAGGGATGTGCAACCCAGCACATAATCCCACTTGGATTAATCATCTCAGCTGCTTCAATCTGAGATGAAAATAGTTTTGTTCATCATAAAGCTGAGGCTCGTTCATTTGAAGGGTTTCTATCAAAGATCTGCTCATCATGTCTGCATCTTCAGCATCAAGAACATCAAGAAACCAGGTGGTGTTTATTAAACTGTTCCACCTAAAGTCAGAAGATCTAGATTTTACTATCTAGATCCATCAGAACATTTTAGAAAACACAAAACTATCGACCCTGATTCAGACAGACCTTTACAGGAGACCCTTCCTGCCTCCAGCATCAACAGCTGGACGAAGGAGCCTCTGCAGGAGCTACTGCAACATCTGGTTTCCCTTGGAATCGATGGAGACCAGTGCTGAGGCTGAGGGGGAGACTGGGAATACTGGGAGGGAGGAACAGTTTAGTCCATTGAGGACATAGGGACCAATCATTGGTCCCCACAAGTACCAAGAAGTCCCCGATATGTAGCTTATTCCTAAGAAGAACGGACGGAGGCCTGGATAGGACACGCAGAGGGACGTTCGTCCTGATGTCCTCTGATGCTGCTGACTCCTGTCTTTGTGTTTCCACAGCCGCCCCTGGAGCCGTGGAAACTCTACTCCACAGTGGGAGTGCTCCTGGCCATCGACTTCCTGTCGCTCATGATCTGGCAGATCGTGGATCCTCTGCACATCACCGTGGAGGTAGAGTACGACACACTGATGACATCACCGCCGCCGCCGCCTCAGAGGCTGCAGGCTGATGATCTGTGATCATCTGAAGGACGTTTTTCTTCTTTATTCAAACACCTCGTTTTAAAAGTTTCCGTTCAGTTTATGATGGGAGATAAAAAGCGGCGCTTTGATCAACGTTGGAATGAAGTTTTACTTCAGTCTCCAGATATCTGCTGATATTAGATTGATCCATTTCTATGGGGGGGCTTTCAGCTGTCTTAGGCCTCCCTCCCTCTATGGCAGGCCGTTTTGACATTTATTAGAAGCGCTGCCCTCTCTATTGTTCCATTTGTTGATCTCTGAAAGAAGATTCTTCCTAGTTAAAAAGACATTCCTACTAGTCAAAAATTTACTTATAGATATCCTAAAATACATTTTTGCTAGCAAAAACTACATTTCAGGCTGCCAAAAATATAATTGTAATAGAATGAATAAACTTTCAAATACGTAGGAATCTTTACAAATTTTAAGTGGCCATTTTGAGGTTAATTAGCTTGACTGAATATATATTCCAGATGTCTCAAATGCATTTATTCCTAGTCAAAATGATCAGATAACATTCTTCCTATCTAACTTATACATGTCAGATATCTGAAATGGAAATCTTACAAACGATGTCATGTTTTCCATTCATGTGTGTTGGGCTTTTACTTCCATATATCTAAACATTCTTCTTATCTAAAACGAATTCTGACGAGGATGAGTTACTGCTGCTCATAATTACTATTTCAGATATTAAAGATAAATATATAACATTACAGATGTCAAGATGTCATAGATAGCGCTAAAGCATTCTACCTAGTCACATTTCTATCATAGATAGCACTAAAGCATTCTACCTAGTCACATTTCTATCATAGATAGCACTAAAGCATTCTACCTAGTCACATTTCTATCATAGATAGCGCTAAAGCATTCTACCTAGTCACATTTCTATCATAGATAGCACTAAAGCATTCTACCTAGTCACATTTCTATCATAGATAGCGCTAAAGCATTCTACCTAGTCACATTTCTATCATAGATAGCACTAAAGCATTCTACCTAGTCACATTTCTATCATAGATAGCGCTAAAGCATTCTACCTAGTCACATTTCTATCATAGATAGCACTAAAGCATTCTACCTAGTCACATTTCTATCATAGATAGCGCTAAAGCATTCTACCTAGTCACATTTCTATCATAGATAGCACTAAAGCATTCTACCTAGTCACATTTCTATCATAGATAGCGCTAAAGCATTCTACCTAGTCACATTTCTATCATAGATAGCACTAAAGCATTCTACCTAGTCACATTTCTATCATAGATAGCACTAAAGCATTCTACCTAGTCACATTTCTATCATAGATAGCACTAAAGCATTCTACCTAGTCACATTTCTATCATAGATAGCGCTAAAGCATTCTACCTAGTCACATTTCTATCATAGATAGCACTAAAGCATTCTACCTAGTCACATTTCTATCATAGATAGCACTAAAGCATTCTACCTAGTCACATTTCTATCATAGATAGCACTAAAGCATTCTACCTAGTCACATTTCTATCATAGATAGCACTAAAGCATTCTACCTAGTCACATTTCTATCATAGATAGCACTAAAGCATTCTACCTAGTCACATTTCTATCATAGATAGCGCTAAAGCATTCTACCTAGTCACATTTCTATCATAGATAGCACTAAAGCATTCTACCTAGTCACATTTCTATCATAGATAGCACTAAAGCATTCTACCTAGTCACATTTCTATCATAGATAGCACTAAAGCATTCTACCTAGTCACATTTCTATCATAGATAGCACTAAAGCATTCTACCTAGTCACATTTCTATCATAGATAGCACTAAAGCATTCTACCTAGTCACATTTCTATCATAGATAGCACTAAAGCATTCTACCTAGTCACATTTCTATCATAGATAGCACTAAAGCATTCTACCTAGTCACATTTCTATCATAGATAGCACTAAAGCATTCTACCTAGTCACATTTCTATCATAGATAGCACTAAAGCATTCTACCTAGTCACATTTCTATCATAGATAGCACTAAAGCATTCTACCTAGTCACATTTCTATCATAGATAGCACTAAAGCATTCTACCTAGTCACATTTCTATCATAGATAGCACTAAAGCATTCTACCTAGTCACATTTCTATCATAGATAGCACTAAAGCATTCTACCTAGTCACATTTCTATCATAGATAGCACTAAAGCATTCTACCTAGTCACATTTCTATCATAGATAGCACTAAAGCATTCTACCTAGTCACATTTCTATCATAGATAGCACTAAAGCATTCTACCTAGTCACATTTCTATCATAGATAGCACTAAAGCATTCTACCTAGTCACATTTCTATCATAGATAGCACTAAAGCATTCTACCTAGTCACATTTCTATCATAGATAGCACTAAAGCATTCTACCTAGTCACATTTCTATCATAGATAGCACTAAAGCATTCTACCTAGTCACATTTCTATCATAGATAGCACTAAAGCATTCTACCTAGTCACATTTCTATCATAGATAGCACTAAAGCATTCTACCTAGTCACATTTCTATCATAGATAGCACTAAAGCATTCTACCTAGTCACATTTCTATCATAGATAGCACTAAAGCATTCTACCTAGTCACATTTCTATCATAGATAGCACTAAAGCATTCTACCTAGTCACATTTCTATCATAGATAGCACTAAAGCATTCTACCTAGTCACATTTCTATCATAGATAGCACTAAAGCATTCTACCTAGTCACATTTCTATCATAGATAGCACTAAAGCATTCTACCTAGTCACATTTCTATCATAGATAGCACTAAAGCATTCTACCTAGTCACATTTCTATCATAGATAGCACTAAAGCATTCTACCTATTCACATTTCTATCATAGATAGCACTATAGCATTCTGCCTAGTCACATTTCTATCATAGATAGCACTAAAGCATTCTACCTAGTCACATTTCTATCATAGATAGCACTAAAGCATTCTACCTAGTCACATTTCTATCATAGATAGCACTAAAGCATTCTACCTAGTCACATTTCTATCATAGATAGCACTAAAGCATTCTACCTAGTCACATTTCTATCATAGATAGCACTAAAGCATTCTACCTAGTCCCAATTAAAATACTCCTGGTCAGAATTGTATTCTAGATGTCACTAATTACATTTCTACCAGTAGAAATTTAATTTGATGTACTCTGGAATCAAATTTGTACTAGTAAGATCTACATTTCAGATATCTACAAATGGTTTCTTATTTTAAGTGGCCGTTTTAACATATATTCTATTTCAGATATCTTTAAATATGTTCCTTCTATGGAAAACGAACATGTCAGATATCTGCTGTGTAATTCTAACTTTTCCTCATTCATGTGTGTTGGGCCGTTACTTCCAGAAATAAACATTCTAGATGTGTGAAAATGAATCGGATTGTTGCTGCTCATAATGCTGTGTCTCTCTGGGATCAGAGGTTCACTAAGGAGGCTCCTAAGGAGGATCTGGACGTCCTGATCCAGCCTCTGCTGGAGCACTGCAGCTCAGAGAAGATGAACACGTGGCTCGGTATGTGGAGCAACACACACCTGCTGTCACTATCCTCATGGACACTTTGACTAACCTAAGCCTAAACCTAATTCATACCTTAGTCCTAAACTAACCCATTTGTCCTTTTTGGACAAAGAAAATTGGTGGTTTGAGAGGGAAGGAAGCCATCTTTGTTAAGGCTTGTTGTAGCCTGGAACTAAACGCCATTTCTGACATTTTGAATTGAAAAAGTTTCCTGGATGGAAGAGAAACGACTTTTCTGGAATGACTTTGACCTGGATGACTGAGAATCCTCACCAGCATAACCCTGGAGCATGAGGAAGATCTGTCATTAACATGAACAAACTGAAATCGATCAGATAGATAAGATTTAAACCAGTCTAGTGCTGTTCCTTTAATTCCAACAAAATATTCAAGTCTTTCTAAAATAATATTATGGTCAACTGTATCAAATGCAGCACTAAGATCCAACAGGACGAGCACAGATACAAGTCCATTATCTGAGGCCATGAGAATATCATTAGTGACTTTCACCAGAGCTGTTTCAGTGCTATGATGAGCTCTAAAGCCAGACTGAAACTCTTCAAAAAGTTCATTATGGTGGAAGTGATCGCAAACTTGTTTGGCAACTACTTTCTCAAGAATCTTAGATCAGAAAGGAAGATTGGATATAGGTCTATAATTGACCAAGTCATCTGGGTCAAGAGACGGTTTCTTAAGCAGAGGTTTAATTCCAGCAACCTTAAAAGCTTTAGGTACATATCCCTGTAACAGAGATAGATTAATCACATCTAGAATGGAGGAGGAGATCAAAGGGAATACCTCCTTAAATAACCTGGTTAAAGGGAATACCTCCTTAAATAACCTGGTTAAAGGGAATACCTCCTTAAAGCTACAGTGTGTAATTTTCAGCGACATCTAGCGGTCAGACTGCAGACTGCAGCAACATGAACATCTCCCCCCCACCGCTTCTCCCCCCCAACAGTACGGCGAGCGTTACGGGACAAAATGTCTTCCACGACGTCCGCATCACCTACCTTCTCAAGTGATGAGGTTTGTTTACATAGATAATTTTACAGATAGTATTTCATTAGTCTGTGTAGGGTATAGATTTCATGTAGACTTAAGATAATAAATATACCCGTTATTTTTTCTACGTCGTTGTGACGTCTTGGTGAGCTGCTTTGCATGGTGATATAAACAGACGAAGGAATTGTAGTCATTAGTTTAACAGCGAGATTGTGTTCGCTGGAAGAATATATATTCCCCGTTTACAGAGTCCAAGTCTTGTTTGTGGCACGGGGGTTACAAGGCAAGGAAGAGGGAAAGGAAGAGGGCAGAGAGGGCGGGGTGAGCGTGCAGCTGGGGCCAGGCGAGGGAGGGGTGCCAGCGGGGTGAGAGCAGAGGAGGAAAGGCTTGAAGATCTCCAAAGGAGCCGGAGAGAAGTAACCGAGGTATATATCCAGAAAATTATTTTACAGAAAATTACTGAATCATTACCTGTGAAACGTCAGGGACGTTGCTGAATAAGTATACTGGAGAGTAACAGCATCATCACGCAGCATGTTATTGTTTTAGACAGGTCTGAGCATCCTGTACTCCAAAAACTGCAGTGATATTAGACAATTGTGTGTGTAGGATTAATTACCTGTCCAAGAGAAAACTGGCAACTTGAGCGTCACTTTGAAAACCTTTTTCCTCCATCAGTGACTTCCATCGTGGAAATGCCGTGCCAATGTTGATCCGTGTTTTTTGTCGTTTCTTGTCACTCTTGCGTTTATTCTCGTCGTGTTTCCGCTTCTTAGATGACGGGGGTTCGGTGTCCGCCGCTTTTCGTTGTGATACAGAGTAGGCATGATCCTCCATTCGTCTGATGTTTGGCCACACAGTGCCAAACAGTTTGCAAAGTCACTCACGCCTGCCGCCTTGTTCACCTTTCTTGTTACTGAGGCGCAGTATACCTGCTTCTTCTTCTTCTTTGGTTTCAGGCAGACTAAACGCTTCTCAGGCATAATACTGCCATCTACTGTTCAGTACCGTCTCAGTTCATCTCTCTCAACTTGCCGTAGTTATTTTCGAGCGTCATGGGAGATCTCGCAATCGCTAGTTTGTTGCCTCTGCACTGCCGTAGCGCAAAGATGTCAGCCTCCATGGCTGCGAGACCCGCTCCTATGTAATTATAAATAACGAATTCTAAGGCAACGCAAATGTTATGGTTAAAAGGCTGAGCTCATAGGTGATGATAAATAACATAGTTATGTATAATATATTAAATTTCTGAATTTATATGCCTGTAATTATTACACACTGTAGCTTTAAATAACCTGGTTAAAGGGAATACCTCCTTAAAAAACCTGGTTAAAGGGAATACCTCCTTAAAAAACCTGGTTAAAGGGAATACCTCCTTAAATAACCTGGTTAAAGTGAATACCTCATTAAATAACCTGGTTAAAGGGAATACCTCCTTAAATAACCTGGTTAAAGGGAATACCTCCTTAAATAACCTGGTTAAAGCGAATACTTCCTTAAATAACCTGGTTAAAGGGAATACCTCCTTAAATAACCTGGTTAAAGGGAATACCTCCTTAAATAACCTGGTTAAAGCGAATACCTCCTTAAATAACCTGGTTAAAGCGAATACCTCCTTAAATAACCTGGTTAAAGGGAATACCTCCTTAAATAACCTGGTTAAAGGGAATACCTCCTTAAATAACCTGGTTAAAGCGAATACTTCCTTAAATAACCTGGTTAAAGCGAATACCTCCTTAAATAACCTGGTTAAAGGGAATACCTCCTTAAATAACCTGGTTAAAGGGAATACCTCCTTAAATAACCTGGTTAAAGCGAATACTTCCTTAAATAACCTGGTTAAAGCGAATACCTCCTTAAATAACCTGGTTAAAGGGAATACCTCCTTAAATAACCTGGTTAAAGGGAATACCTCCTTAAATAACCTGGTTAAAGGGAATACCTCCTTAAATAACCTGGTTAAAGCGAATACCTCCTTAAATAACCTGGTTAAAGGGAATACCTCCTTAAATAACCTGGTTAAAGCGAATACTTCCTTAAATAACCTGGTTAAAGCGAATACCTCCTTAAATAACCTGGTTAAAGCGAATACCTCCTTAAATAACCTGGTTAAAGGGAATACCTCCTTAAATAACCTGGTTAAAGGGAATACCTCCTTAAATAACCTGGTTAAAGCGAATACGTCCTTAAATAACCTGGTTAAAGCGAATACCTCCTTAAATAACCTGGTTAAAGGGAATACCTCCTTAAATAACCTGGTTAAAGGGAATACCTCCTTAAATAACCTGGTTAAAGGGAATACCTCCTTAAATAACCTGGTTAAAGCGAATACTTCCTTAAATAACCTGGTTAAAGCGAATACCTCCTTAAATAACCTGGTTAAAGGGAATACCTCCTTAAATAACCTGGTTAAAGGGAATACCTCCTTAAATAACCTGGTTAAAGCGAATACTTCCTTAAATAACCTGGTTAAAGCGAATACCTCCTTAAATAACCTGGTTAAAGGGAATACCTCCTTAAATAACCTGGTTAAAGGGAATACCTCCTTAAATAACCTGGTTAAAGCGAATACCTCCTTAAATAACCTGGTTAAAGGGAATACCTCCTTAAATAACCTGGTTAAAGCGAATACTTCCTTAAATAACCTGGTTAAAGCGAATACCTCCTTAAATAACCTGGTTAAAGCGAATACCTCCTTAAATAACCTGGTTAAAGGGAATACCTCCTTAAATAACCTGGTTAAAGGGAATACCTCCTTAAATAACCTGGTTAAAGTGAATACTTCCTTAAATAACCTGGTTAAAGCGAATACCTCCTTAAATAACCTGGTTAAAGGGAATACCTCCTTAAATAACCTGGTTAAAGCGAATACCTCCTTAAATAACCTGGTTAAAGGGAATACCTCCTTAAATAACCTGGTTAAAGCGAATACTTCCTTAAATAACCTGGTTAAAGCGAATACCTCCTTAAATAACCTGGTTAAAGCGAATACCTCCTTAAATAACCTGGTTAAAGGGAATACCTCCTTAAATAACCTGGTTAAAGCGAATACTTCCTTAAATAACCTGGTTAAAGCGAATACCTCCTTAAATAACCTGGTTAAAGGGAATACCTCCTTAAATAACCTGGTTAAAGGGAATACCTCCTTAAATAACCTGGTTAAAGGGAATACCTCCTTAAATAACCTGGTTAAAGCGAATACCTCCTTAAATAACCTGGTTAAAGGGAATACCTCCTTAAATAACCTGGTTAAAGGGAATACCTCCTTAAATAACCTGGTTAAAGGGAATACCTCCTTAAATAACCTGGTTAAAGCGAATACCTCCTTAAATAACCTGGTTAAAGCGAATACCTCCTTAAATAACCTGGTTAAAGCGAATACCTCCTTAAATAACCTGGTTAAAGGGAATACCTCCTTAAATAACCTGGTTAAAGGGAATACCTCCTTAAATAACCTGGTTAAAGCGAATACCTCCTTAAATAACCTGGTTAAAGCGAATACCTCCTTAAATAACCTGGTTAAAGGGAATACCTCCTTAAATAACCTGGTTAAAGCGAATACTTCCTTAAATAACCTGGTTAAAGCGAATACCTCCTTAAATAACCTGGTTAAAGCGAATACCTCCTTAAATAACCTGGTTGAAACTGGATCTAACATCCCGCTGAAGGCTTAGATGATTCAGATCATTTTCTTTAACATAATTAATTAGTAAAATGAATATTTTTTAAAGAACACATTTTATTCACTGTTTATTAAGGAAATTTATGTTTTTCTTTTTTCGCATTTCTCCTGTTAGCATCTTTGAGATTAATTAGACATAAAGAATCGACTAAATCTGTCTGAACGAACTGAATGTGACGTAACTTTATAAATAACAGTGAAGTAAAATAGATTGTTTAATCATTTTCATCAAATTAATGATTTACTGTCTGTTTAGGAATCATTTCTAAAATAATTTGGGTGTTTTGGACATAATGATGTAATTTTCTCACTATTAGCATCTGTGTTTATTATTGTCTAACATGGTAGATGGAGAACATCTATCTAAATGTAATAAAGCTGATAATCCTTAAAAGATCAAAGCTACGCAGAGTTTCTGTAAAAGTGAAAATATCTTCAGCAGCATCAGACATCAGTTCACCTTCGCTTCCACTTTCCACTGATTAAAACTCAGTTTTAATAAATTAAGTCTGCAGTCTCTGCAGGAGCAGCTAATGATCCATGATGTTCAGGTGAAACGGTTAAACTCACCTCGACGCCACCGAGACCATCAGGAAAAAACTGACTGTTCTGATGCAGACATATTTTAATGGTTAAATGTTCAACTAGTATTAAAAATAAATGTATATTCATGCATCTATCCCTGTTTCCTAATGTTTAAAGGTAAACAGGTAAACAGGTAGACTGAATCCACTTCCTGCTCTGAACGCTGCTCCTCTCCCTGCAGGCGTGGTTTACGGCTATAAGGGTCTGCTGCTGCTGCTGGGCATTTTCCTGGCCTATGAGACCAAGTCTGTCTCCACAGAGAAGATCAACGACCATCGAGCCGTGGGGATGGCCATTTACAACGTGGCTGTAAGTCCAACTGGAATACGGTCTCTGCTGCTGCAGTGAAGCTGCAATAAGGTCCTTTTTACAGAACTAAGGTCTGATAGTTCTTCCATGGGTCAGTCTGTCCTTACCTTTCTAGCCAAGTCTGCAGGAAGACATTTAAACCGATTGAAAGACGCCATCAGAGGGGAGAGTTAGCATAGCTTCACTGTCGCTAAGCGGCTTCAGCCGCCTGTGGTTGAGCTTCCCTGCAGAGGTTAGGGTCACAGTGATTTAATGCATTTAGCGTTAATCAGTAAAATAATGTTTTCATCACGATCACTGAGTCTGGGAGCGGCCATTTTTGCCCACATATAGTAGCCCCTCCCTCCTGCCATCTTCCAGCAGTGACGTCACGGTGCGGTAAGCCTAGCGCCATTCTCCCCGCTTTCCAAGCTAAATCAATGGCAACTACTAGACACATCTGCAATCAACAACAATTATTGAAGGTTTCCAGAGGACTTCACCATTGAAATTCACCAGAGCTATAGTGAAACTGACAATGCCCACGTGCATGGCAGCTGGATGCTGGAATACATCGGGTAAAAGTGAAACAAAGAGTTATTCCACCTTTCTGATTCCTGATCCTCCACGGACGGGTTGGTCGTTGGATCGCCAACTTGAAGAGGGAGGATTTGCCATCGAACTTCTGGCCAGAGAAAAAACCCGTAATATGTAGCCAACATTTGGAAGAAGAATGTTTTCAAGATGACTTGGATAATAGCGCGTTGTGACAAACACCAGATACAGCACTGGGACTTGATCAACAGCCGATACCGCATCGTGACGTCACTAACCAGTAGGTGGCAGTAGTGTTCTTTGACAAACATGGATGCCTCCAGTAAAGCACATTCACATGAAAATTACTCTGAATTAAAAACACTGATCATTTATTGAACAGGATGGAATCATTTCAGATTTAAAGAACTTTCAGAAGTTTGGATTCTGAGTTTGACCAAACTTTTCCTTTAACTCCAGAGGAGTTTAGATGTTTTGCTGCTCTGGAAGATCTCCTCAGCATCAACCTTCTTAAACTAAACGCTCATTAAATAAATTTATCTCTCATTCTTCATGATTGACGATAACTGTGCTGCTTTTCTGCTGCAGTCAGAGCCAAGTTCAAAGTGTTAATGATTCCCACGTTTCATCTTAATGAAGGCGTAATGGAGTCTGCAGGAGGCGGAGCTTCCTGATGCTGGTTTGATGGATGTGATCTCCAACCCCTCCTCCCTCTGCTCCTGCAGGTGTTGTGCCTGATCACGGCTCCGGTGACCATGATCCTGTCTTCGCAGCAGGACGCCTCCTTTGCCTTCGCCTCCCTGGCCATCGTCTTCTCCGCCTACATCACTCTGGTGGTGCTTTTTGTACCGAAGGTGACTGATTCCCTGAGAACATGAGAGAAACTCTCTGCTAGTCACAGTTCAGTTCAGAGAAGGTCAGACCTGTCAGAGCAAAGTTCAGCTCAACATTTGATCAAAGTGCGTCTCTCTGCCTGATGTCTCCATTTGTCTCAAGTTGTTTCCAACAACAAGCTGAAGCTGCTTGATGTAAAGCTGCTGCCAAAACGTAAATAAAACCAGCTTAGTTTTTCTGGTGTAGAACCGCAGCTAAATGTGGAGATTCTGCAGAATGCATCAAATTAGAGATTTATTCTAGTTTAGACAGGAGGAGGAGACCTGGAGGCGGCCTGGTCCTGCTTTAACCTGTCAGCAGTGAACCTGCAGGAGGCGTGGCCTTTTAGTCAATGTGTGGAAAAGCGTTTCCATGGATTCTGAGCTTTTTGTTTGACTTCCTCTTCCCTCGGCGGTGCAGATGCGGCGTCTCATCACCCGCGGCGAATGGCAGTCGGAGCAGCAGGACACTCTGAAGACCGGGTCGTCCACCAACAACAATGACGAGGAGAAGTCCAGGCAGCTGGAGCGGGAGAACCGGGAGCTGCAGAAGATCATCCAGGAGGTGAAGACACTTCACTCCCTCAGGTCCACCCTGAGGCAGCTCAGGCAGCCATGTTGGACCTGGACTGGGTCTGCAAAGTCTGCAGAGCTGCAGAGTCTGCAGACTCTGCAGCTCTGCAGAGTCTGCAGAGCTGCAGAGTCTGCAGAGCTGCAGAGTCTGCAGAGTCTGCAAAGTCTGCAGAGCTGCAGAGTCTGCAGAGCTGCAGAGTCTGCAGAGTCTGCAGAGCTGAAGATCTAACAGGCTAGCTAGCAAGCCGCGGGTCGAGTCGACCTCATCGCCCCCGGAAACGGTGTGAGAAGGAGGAGTTTAAATAGCTGCAGACCAGGAAGCAGAGTCGTAGTTTACCAGACCTCTCTGCAGCTTCTCTACTGTTACTCTTTACTCCATCCAGACGGCGTCCAGCCCACGACCAGAATCTAATGACTTAGCAAATATTCCCAAAAGAAGAAATCATGATAATAATTAAAAATAAAATAACTCCAATTGGGAAAAAGTTAAAACTATTAAATGTGGTTTATTTAAAATAAGATCTATGTCTTCAAAAGGTTAAAGGTATTGGGGAGGATAAAAAAACAAAAACCCTCTTCACTTAAAAAAAAATGCACATGTACAACCCTGCTCCCGCTCCCGAGAGGGAACGCCTATTAGCGCCTATAGTGCGAGGGCGTGCACAAGCCCTGTTCTGGTTGCTCATCCAGCTGGATTCCTCTCCTGTTTGATATAAACCTGAAGGTTATTTAACTTGTTCTCGCGTTTTATAACTTTTCAGATCAAAGATGAAGCAAAGATCTGCTTTTTGGTGCCTGTAAACTAAACGCTCTCCTCATTGTGTTTCTGCAGAAAGAGGAGCGGGTGTCTGCCCTTCGCAACCAGCTGGCCGAGCGACAAGCTATACGTAACCGCCGCCAGCCCACCTCAGGCCAGAACCAGAACCACAACACTCCTCCTCCAGCGTCTCACACCGATCCCAAGTCTCTGCTGCCCCCTCCGGGGTACTCTCACCCCACCTCAGACAATCACTCGCTGCCGCCATCCTTCTCTAACTCCTCCAGTCTCTACCCAGCTGACAGCAAGATGAGCCGCAACCACTGTCACAACAGCCAGATCCCGCTGCTGTACAAGTAGGCGGGATGGGGGGGTGGGGGTGGGATGGGGGGTCGGGGGTATCATGAAGCATAAACTGGAACAGTCACCTTGTTTGGAAGGAAAGCACAGGAGGTTACACCACCCAAACATAGCACACAGAGACAGTGTCCATCACGTCTGGACTGCGGGGGTCCTCTTCACCTGCGGGGGTCCTCTTCACCTGCGGGGGTCCTCTTCACCCGTGGGGGTCCTCTTTACCTGCGGGGGTCCTCTTTACCCGCGGGGGTCATGTGAACATTCAGCCCCCTCCATTGTATCTTTGAGGAGCGGGGATGTTTAAGGATGTTTCTTTGCTGTTTGGTCGGAGGGGTTTGGTGACTGAGCTCCACATGCAGTGGATGTTTCTGTTGTTCTCTAAGATCTGATCTGACTCGTCTTGGACTTGTTGTGTGACGTTTTGTTCACCCTCCAGGAGGAACTGTACAGATTTCGCGCAGCGATCCAGTGAAGAGCGGCTGAGCTGGGATGTCCAGGGTCGCTGTGCTTCATGTCATCACCTTACCTGAAAGGTCAGGGATCCGCATCTTCAGACTGCAGCTCAACGATTAGCTTTTTATGGATGGACAGAATAATTAGAGCTTCAGGAAGTTTCTGATGGTTTCAGTCTGTTTGCTCTTTGTGTTTTTAACGTCTTCTAACCTGAGATTGATTAGTGATGATAGAAGCTTTTCCATCTGTGGCCCCAAACTCTGAAGACAATACCTGTCCACTTCTACTGGAACCTCTGACCCCGTTCTTCATAACAGCCTCACCCTGAGACCAGAGAACATCATCAGGTCCAATCGCTATGTCTGTAGGTTCTAATCTACCAAATATCACGGTTCTAAATGGGTTCTAGAGTTTCTAGCTCTAGAGGTTTGTGTAGAAATACAAAAAGCTTCTTATTCGGCATCAGGACCTGAGCCCACCGGGTCGACCAAACACTCCTCTTTGTACCAAAGATAAAAACCTCTTATTCTGATCAATAAACCCTCCAAACTTTCAGCAAACCTGAATGCTTTGATCCCTCAAACACCGAGACACCCTGCAGAGCTTGATCTGTTGATTTTAACACGTTTCCTCTGATCAGCCAATCAGAAATGAGGGAAGAGAGCGGCGCCATGTGGGCCCTGGAACCCAGAGCTTCAGTCAGTCAGAACCACCTTATGTAGACTGAAGATCAGAACCATTAAGCAAGGTTCTACTTAACAAGACATTGGTTCTGTTCTGTGCTGACCTGATCTAGTCAGAACTGGTTAGAGCTGGTCTGAACTGGTCTGAACTGGTCTGAACTGGTCTGAACTGGTCTGAACTGTTCTTATCTGGTCTGAACTGTTCTTATCTGGTCTGAACTGTTCTGATCTGGTCTGAACTGGTCTGAACTGGTCTGAACTGTTCTTATCTGGTCTGAACAGGTCTGATCTGGTCTGAACTGGTCTGAACTGTTCTTATCTGGTCTGAACTGTTCTTATCTGGTCTGAACTGTTCTGATCTGGTCTGAACTGGTCTAATCTGGTCTGAACTGGTCTGAACTGGTCTGATCTGGTCTGAACTTTTCTTATCTGGTCTGATCTGGTCTGAACTGTTCTTATCTGGTCTGAACTGCTCTTATCTGGTCTGATCTGGTCTGAACTGGTCTGAACTGGTCTGATCTGGTCTGAACTGGTCTGATCTGGTCTGTCACTTACAGCCCATAAGTGTCCTGAGGTGTGTGGTTGTAACGTGGGCAGAGCAGCATCTACCCCAGACTGCGTGAATCTGTTAATGAAGCTTTTTAACACGTTTTCCTGCAGAGAATCATAACTATTTGTTCTATTTTGTTGTAAATGTTTGAAGGAAAGAGATGAAGGAAGATGATGAGGATTTGTTCAGGTCTAAATGTGGAAGCTGCACTGATGAACGGATCAGGTTCAGTTCTCTGGTCTGTTGGTGAGCTCCATCCTGAACCATGATGGATGTTTCCTCTGAGCTCAGTGGGCCTGCAAACCAACAGGCCTCCTGTCGGGTCGTGTGTCATAGGGATGCAGAAACCATTTATTATTAAACACATATATGCTAATAAACTTTGGAGATATTTGTATTCACTGTATCTAAATGTTGATATACTTCAGATAAAGTGTGTGGTAACATGTAGCTAACATGAATAAAATGTTTGTTTTTCCACTTTAAAAGCTGTCTGCTGCTGCTTGGCTGCTCCCACCAGGGGGCGCCAGATGTCTGCGGTGATTCTGACTGAGGTTGATGATGTGTGTTAGTAGTAGGTGGGGGGGGGGGGCAGACAAATGGCTCCCAGAGTGTTTGTCTGAAAAGGGTTTTTCGATGACGATGCAGACCAGCTGTGGTGCAGTCCCATGACCCCCCCCCCCCCCCCACACACACACACACAGCTTCCTGTGCTGTCTCGGGTTACAGCTGGAAGGTTGCAGGGTGTGTGTGTGTGTGTGTGGGCTGTGAGGGGGCGTCGCCGCGGAAAACCCGATCAGGGCTGAGGCTTCTGGGCCTCCACCTGACCCAGCAGGCGGCTGAAAGCTAGCAGGAAATTCCCCTCCTAACGAGGGAAGAATTCGCTGGCTGGGGAGGAATTTCAAGCAACTTTCACCGACTGGGTGTGTGTGTGTGTGTGGGGGGGGGGGGTTCTCTGTGGTCTCAGAAAAAAACTTCTCTTTTTGTTGCTTTTCAGGCTTTTTTATTTATACAAAACATGATAATAAACAGATTTAAATACCAATAAATATGAATAAATAAATGTTTAAAATAAGGAAGGAGCTTTCTGCTCCTACAGCCTCATGTCGGCATAAATACAAACAAAAAGTGCCTAAAACAGAAATAAAGTTTCAACTGGTACAGTTAATAAAGTCTGGGTCCATCTCCATGGAGATGTTAGCATTTCTACGTCTGAATCAAGGTGTGAAAGCGTGCTCAGGTACGCTCCCTGGTGATCACAGCAGTGACTCAAAGTGCAAAGACACCAAAGAAGGTCTTCCCCTCCTCGGTCTCCAGCTCAGTGAGCTGGTTGGTCTCCGTCCAAAGCCGGTCTCCTCGGTTCAGGTGGAAGACGGCCCCCAGGTAGATGGTGCTGTAGCAGCCGCGGCCCGATAGCCCGTCCTCCTCCTGCAGGTTCTGACACGCCGACCTGACGGCGTTCATCAGGGACACCGGCTTCCCCACGGAGGTGGAGGAACTCCAGATCCGGTGGCTGAGGGGCTGTAGGGACGACAGGCCCTGCTTGTCCTCACTGTAGGACACCCTGAAGGACACCTGGCTGTAGACGAAGTACAGTCCTCTCTCTGGGATGATGATCTGGTTGTCTTGCAGATGAAGGCCCCCCAAAGAGAAGGCCTGGCCCACAGCGTCCCTCCACTCGATAGAGGGCTTCCTGTCATCCTCGTCGTATTTACCTGCAAAGATGGAAGACACTTAGTCTCTGCAGGTCCCACAGGTGGCTCTCAGAGGACTAGGCCTAGGTCAGAGGGCTAGGCCTAGGTCGGAGGGCTAGGCTTAGGTCAGAGGGCTAGGCTTAGGTCAGAGGGCTAGGCTTAGGTCAGAGGACTAGGCCTAGGTCAGAGGGCTAGGCCTAGGTCAGAGGGCTAGGCTTAGGTCGGAGGGCTAGGCTTAGGTCAGAGGGCTAGGCCTAGGTCAGAGGGCTAGGCTTAGGTCAGAGGGCTAGGCTTAGGTCGGAGGGCTAGGCTTAGGTCAGAGGGCTAGGCTTAGGACAGAGGGCTAGGCTTAGGTCAGAGGGCTAGGCTTAGGTCAGAGGACTAGGCCTAGGTCAGAGGGCTAGGCTTAGGTCGGAGGGCTAGGCCTAGGTCAGAGGGCTAGGCTTAGGTCAGAGAGCTAGGCTAAAGTCAGAGAGCTAGGCTTAGGTCAGATGGCTAGGCTTAGGTCAGAGAGCTAGGCTTAGGTCAGAGGGCTAGGCTTAGATCAGAGGGCTAGGCTTAGGTCAGAGGGCTAGGCTTAGTACAGAGGGCTAGGCTTAGATCAGAGGGCTAGGCTTAGGTCAGAGGGCTAGGCTTAGGTCAGAGAGCTAGGCTAAAGTCAGAGAGCTAGGCTAAAGTCAGAGAGCTAGGCTTAGATCAGAGGGCTAGGCTTAGATCAGAGGGCTAGGCTTAGATCAGAGGGCTAGGCTTAGGTCAGAGGGCTAGGCTTAGGTCAGAGAGCTAGGCTAAAGTCAGAGAGCTAGGCTAAGGTCAGAGAGCTAGGCTAAAGTCAGAGAGCTAGGCTTAGATCAGAGGGCTAGGCTTAGATCAGAGGGCTAGGCTTAGATCAGAGGGCTAGGCTTAGGTCAGAGGGCTAGGCTAAAGTCAGAGAGCTAGGCTTAGGACAGAGGGCTAGGCTTAGGACAGAGGGCTAGGCTTAGATCAGAGGGCTAGGCTTAGATCAGAGGGCTAGGCTTAGGTCAGAGGGCTAGGCTTAGGTCAGAGGGCTAGGCTTAGGACAGAGGGCTAGGCTTAGGTCAGAGAGCTAGGCAATAGTCAGAGGGTTAGGCTTAGGTCAGAGAGCTAGGCTAAAGTCAGAGAGCTAGGCTTAGGACAGAGGGCTAGGCTTAGATCAGAGGGCTAGGTCTAGGTCAGAGGGCTAGGCTTAGGACAGAGGGCTAGGCTTAGATCAGAGGGCTAGGCTTAGGAAAGAGGGCTAGGCTTAGGACAGAGGGCTAGGCTTAGATCAGAGGGCTAGGCTTAGGTCAGAGGGCTAGGCCTAGGTCAGAGGGCTAGGCTTAGGTCAGAGGGCTAGGCTAAAGTCAGAGGGCTAGGCTCAGGTCAGAAGGCTAGGCTTAGGTCAGAGGGCTAGGCTTAGGTCAGAGAGCTAGGCTTAGGTCAGAGAGCTAGGCTTAGGACAGAGGGCTAGGCTTAGATCAGAGGGCTAGGCTTAGGACAGAGGGCTAGGCTTAGATCAGAGGGCTAGGCTTAGGTCAGAGGGCTAGGCTTAGGTCAGAGAGCTAGGCTTAGGACAGAGGGCTAGGCTTAGGACAGAGGGCTAGGCTTAGATCAGAGGGCTAGGCTTAGGTCAGAGAGCTAGGCTTAGGACAGAGGGCTAGGCTTAGGACAGAGGGCTAGGCTTAGATCAGAGGGCTAGGCTTAGGTCAGAGGGCTAGGCTTAGGTCAGAGAGCTAGGCTTAGGACAGAGGGCTAGGCTTAGGACAGAGGGCTAGGCTTAGATCAGAGGGCTAGGCTTAGGTCAGAGGGCTAGGCCTAGGTCAGAGGGCTAGGCTTAGGTCAGATGGCTAGGCTTAGGTCAGAGGGCTAGGCTTAGGTCAGATGGCTAGGCTTAGGTCAGAGAGCTAGGCTTAGGTCAGAGGGCTAGGCTTAGGACAGAGGGCTAGGCTTAGATCAGAGGGCTAGGCTTAGGACAGAGGGCTAGGCTTAGGACAGAGGGCTAGGCTTAGATCAGAGGGCTAGGCTTAGGTCAGAGGGCTAGGCCTAGGTCAGAGGGCTAGGCTTAGGTCAGATGGCTAGGCTTAGGTCAGAGGGCTAGGCTTAGGTCAGATGGCTAGGCTTAGGTCAGAGAGCTAGGCTTAGGTCAGAGGGCTAGGCTTAGGTCAGAGGGCTAGGCTTAGGTCAGAGGGCTAGGCTTAGGCCGGAGGGCTAGGCTAAAGTAGGGCCTGACTCACCGACTAAATGGATGGCGGCCGTCGCCCTCCTGCTGATTTCCCTCAGCTTGGAATGGGTCCCTGAGGAGAAGGAGACACAATGAGCTCAGATCATCTCAGGTTAAGCTTCCTGTGGATTTAGATCAAACTGAGGTGATTTTCACCTGTGGTGACATCAGAGTCCATGATGACTGGAGCTGCTGTGTGTTCTGAGCCGGTCTGGAGGTTAGAAAAGCTCAGATTAAAGAGAAGCACCAGAAACCAAACCTCTGCAGAGTTAAACTCAGACTTACTGTTGGTCCTGATCGCTCCAGCTGGTACCACACATAGAGCCGGGCTCCTCCAATGCTGAGGGCCAGTAGGAGCAGCACCCCAAACACCTTCCACATCCACCCTGTGGACGGCTTCTTCTCCACCAGAACCTCCATCCTGCCCTGAGGCCCTGCTTCCACGTCTCCCGCTGTGATTTTGTAGCCCGTCATCGTCTGTGTCTGAATCAGCCTCTGAGCTTCCGCCTGTCTGACAGTTAGACTGAACCTCTGCCAGGCGGCCTCTAGTATTTATGCTCTGGAGGCTGTTCCTGCAGAAGGGAAACTCCAGTTATGTCACTGAGTGGAGAGGCCGCAGCTGCAGCAGCCGCTCGCGCCGCGGAGAGAAACAAGCAAAGGAAAGAGAAGTCACAGAATTTCTCAGTGTGGAGCGTCGCAGGATCTGCGGCTTCAGACGCAGTTTTTAAAACAAGGTTTTAAACTAGAGGCTTCAACATGTGAACCTTCCCAATGATCTGTGAATGATAGGCCAGGCCATGCAGGGGGGGGGGGGGTCTTATTGACATCAAGAATTACTGATTTACTACAGAATCAAACAAACTGAAGGATCAGATTTAAAGTTCTGCAACCATCTGATCAGATCTGGGTCTAAATGTAAAAATCCTCTGGAAGTTTTGCTGAGCTGGAAAACAAAATCTGGCAGCTTTCTGTTTCATTTAGATGAAGCAATCAGAAGCTCCAAACCGGTTCTTCTGGTCCTTTTCCATTTCACTTTCTGAACTCAATCTTAGACTTGGATAAACTGATATTATTTTTATACAAGTCCAGTATATATTAAACTACATTTTGTTTTTTACAGCTTTCAGACAGTAAATTAACATTTCCATCCATAAAGTGACCAAATGTAAACAGTTTGGGAGAAAAAACAAAAACACTAATTGATCTGGAGGTTCAGCTTTAATATAAATCTTGGTTTGGTTTCATCAGTGTGATGGCGGTGGGGAAGAAGCTGCTGGTCCTGCATTGAATGCTGGGAAGCCTCTTCCCAGAGGGCAGCAGGGAGAACAGTCCATGGTGGCAGGGTGAGGGGTCATTGATGATGTCACGGGCTCTGGACACGCAGCGCTGGGATGAAATGTCTTTAATGGAGGGAAGAGGAGCCCCCATGATCCTCTCTGCTGTTCTCACCTTCTTCAGTCTGAGGCGCTGCAGCCTCCACACCAGAACCAGTCAGTGCGGGTTCTGTCCGACCCGGACTGACTGAGGTCTGTTGGTGAGGAAGTCTAGCAGCCAATAGTAGAGGGGTGTATTGAAGCCCAGTTGTTCCAGTTTGCCCATCAGATGCTGTGGGATGATGGTGTTGTGTAAAATGGGTTATATTGTATTTTATTATATTATTATGTTGTATCATTATATGAAATAAATAAATACAAAATGTTAGAACTGTAAATTTACAGTAATATGTTTAAATTACTGTTTTTATAGATTTTTTTTTACTGTTTTTCAACTTTAGAGAAGAGCTGTTTCCAAATGAAATTTCTTTTTGTTTTACACTTGTGTAAAATGACAAAATATGTCTAAGTCAGAGGATGAAGAGAGCAAATCCAGTTAGTCACAGTCAGAGAAACAGGACTACACTGGAAAACAGGCCAAGCTCCAACATCTAGAAACAAAGGTGTTGATGGCAGCAGCACAGCTGATATTTCTCTCCAGGATGGAGTCACAGCCAAACAGGAACAGACCAGACGAAGCTACTATGAGAAAAAGCAGAGAGAGCAGAACGTTAGAGATTGAACTAACAGATTCTGCAGAGTGGGAGAATAGAGATAGAATGAAGCAGAATGATGAAAAAGGGGTCCCTATGTCCTCCAGCAGTCTAAGCCTATAGCAGCAGAACTATAGAGATAGATCAGGATAACCTGAGCCACTCTAACTAGAAGCTTTATCAGGTATGAAAAGCATAAAAACAATATTCCTCTAAAATAGATCATCAATAGATCACCTGTTCACTCTAGTTTCCTGTCCTGTGAATTTCAAAATAAAGGTGTAGGCTAAATCTGATGATTTGGTTTAATGTTTTCATTTTGCATTAAATCCTGAGGTTTTTATCTGTATTTATAGACGTATCATTGCAGCCTTAGTGGAACCAGCTCTACCAGAAATAAACTATAAAACAAACTAACTTTGCTGTTTTTAAGGTTAATAACTCAAAGAAGCCTTCAGAGAGGAGGACCCGGCGCCATGATCTGACGCCATCATGTTTGTGATGTCATGTTGATCTTTAAAGGAGTTTAACGCTTTATTTGAAAACTGGTGAAATCAAACCAAACTTGATTAGAAACAAAGAGCTTAAAGCTACAGTCTGTCAGTGTTTGGGAGCCTTTTATCCTGGGAATGGGATTAACTGGGAGGACTGGGACTTTTTACAACATTCTTTCTCTGAGCTTCATGGGATTTTGTTTCAGATTTTATATAAAAGTCTTCAAACCAGAATTTGGTTTAACGGTTACAGTTTGCTGATTTCTCCTTTGGAGGACGGTGTGTGATCTGATAAGGTCCCGTCCTCTGATTGGTTCAAACGCTCCGTTATTAGCGGCATCCTGGGCTCCTTCACAGGCTCATCAGAGTCTGATCTAAGATCATCAGAGTCTGATCTAAGATCATCAGAGTCTGATCTAAGATCATCAGAGTCTGATCTAAGATCATCAGAGTCTGATCTAAGATCATCAGAGTCTGATCTAAGGTCATCAGAGTCTGATCTAAGATCAGCAGAGTCTGATCTAAGATCATCAGAGTCTGATCTAAGGTCATCAGAGTCTGATCTAAGATCATCAGAGTCTGATCTAAGATCATCAGAGTCTGATCTAAGGTCATCAGAGTCTGATCTAAGATCATCAGAGTCTGATCTAAGATCATCAGAGTCTGATCTAAGATCATCAGAGTCTGATCTAAGATCATCAGAGTCTGATCTAAGGTCATCAGAGTCTGATCTAAGATCATCAGAGTCTGATCTAAGATCATCAGAGTCTGATCTAAGATCATCAGAGTCTGATCTAAGGTCATCAGAGTCTGATCTAAGATCATCAGAGTCTGATCTAAGGTCATCAGAGTCTGATCTAAGGTCATCAGAGTCTGATCTAAGATCAGCAGAGTCTGATCTAAGATCATCAGAGTCTGATCTAAGGTCATCAGAGTCTGATCTAAGATCAGCAGAGTCTGATCTAAGATCATCAGAGTCTGATCTAAGATCATCAGAGTCTGATCTAAGATCATCAGAGTCTGATCTAAGATCAGCAGAGTCTGATCTAAGGTCATCAGAGTCTGATCTAAGATCATCAGAGTCTGATCTAAGATCATCAGAGTCTGATCTAAGGTCATCAGAGTCTGATCTAAGGTCATCAGAGTCTGATCTAAGGTCATCAGAGTCTGATCTAAGATCATCAGAGTCTGATCTAAGATCATCAGAGTCTGATCTAAGGTCATCAGAGTCTGATCTAAGATCATCAGAGTCTGATCTAAGATCATCAGAGTCTGATCTAAGATCATCAGAGTCTGATCTAAGATCAGCAGAGTCTGATCTAAGGTCATCAGAGTCTGATCTAAGGTCATCAGAGTCTGATCTAAGGTCATCAGAGTCTGATCTAAGATCATCAGAGTCTGATCTAAGATCATCAGAGTCTGATCTAAGGTCATCAGAGTCTGATCTAAGATCATCAGAGTCTGATCTAAGATCAGCAGAGTCTGATCTAAGGTCATCAGAGTCTGATCTAAGATCATCAGAGTCTGATCTAAGATCATCAGAGTCTGATCTAAGATCATCAGAGTCTGATCTAAGATCATCAGAGTCTGATCTAAGATCAGCAGAGTCTGATCTAAGATCATCAGAGTCTGATCTAAGATCATCAGAGTCTGATCTAAGATCATCAGAGTCTGATCTAAGATCATCAGAGTCTGATCTAAGATCATCAGAGTCTGATCTAAGATCATCAGAGTCTGATCTAAGATCATCAGAGTCTGATCTAAGATCATCAGAGTCTGATCTAAGGATCATCAGAGTCTGATCTAAGATCATCAGAGTCTGATCTAAGATCATCAGAGTCTGATCTAAGATCAGCAGAGTCTGATCTAAGGTCATCAGAGTCTGATCTAAGATCATCAGAGTCTGATCTAAGATCATCAGAGTCTGATCTAAGGTCATCAGAGTCTGATCTAAGATCATCAGAGTCTGATCTAAGATCAGCAGAGTCTGATCTAAGATCATCAGAGTCTGATCTAAGATCATCAGAGTCTGATCTAAGGTCATCAGAGTCTGATCTAAGATCATCAGAGTCTGATCTAAGATCATCAGAGTCTGATCTAAGATCATCAGAGTCTGATCTAAGATCATCAGAGTCTGATCTAAGGTCATCAGAGTCTGATCTAAGATCATCAGAGTCTGATCTAAGATCATCAGAGTCTGATCTAAGATCATCAGAGTCTGATCTAAGGTCATCAGAGTCTGATCTAAGATCATCAGAGTCTGATCTAAGGTCATCAGAGTCTGATCTAAGGTCATCAGAGTCTGATCTAAGATCAGCAGAGTCTGATCTAAGATCATCAGAGTCTGATCTAAGGTCATCAGAGTCTGATCTAAGATCAGCAGAGTCTGATCTAAGATCATCAGAGTCTGATCTAAGGTCATCAGAGTCTGATCTAAGATCATCAGAGTCTGATCTAAGATCATCAGAGTCTGATCTAAGATCATCAGAGTCTGATCTAAGATCATCAGAGTCTGATCTAAGATCAGCAGAGTCTGATCTAAGATCATCAGAGTCTGATCTAAGGTCATCAGAGTCTGATCTAAGATCATCAGAGTCTGATCTAAGGTCATCAGAGTCTGATCTAAGATCATCAGAGTCTGATCTAGATCATCAGAGTCTGATCTAAGATCATCAGAGTCTGATCTAAGATCATCAGAGTCTGATCTAAGGTCATCAGAGTCTGATCTAAGATCATCAGAGTCTGATCTAAGATCATCAGAGTCTGATCTAAGATCAGCAGAGTCTGATCTAAGATCATCAGAGTCTGATCTAAGGTCATCAGAGTCTGATCTAAGATCATCAGAGTCTGATCTAAGATCATCAGAGTCTGATCTAAGGTCATCAGAGTCTGATCTAAGATCATCAGAGTCTGATCTAAGATCATCAGAGTCTGATCTAAGATCATCAGAGTCTGATCTAAGGTCATCAGAGTCCGATCTAAGATCATCAGA